GAGCAGTCCCAGAGGCCGTTCTCGTCGCGCTTATGTAAATTTTGATCATTCGTGTACGTCCTGCGTATACGCCTCGGGAGGATACAGATTAAAAGGCCATTCTAATATCTTATAGCGCGAGCGCTCGCTTCGACGTCTCGTACGCGAGATTTCCTTCTTTATGAAGTCAATGTATCGAAGTTGCCGGTTCATCCATTATACCAATGAGCAGCAATCACGTAATACAAGGCTAGCGTTAAACCGTTTGAAAGATTACCCTGTCTCTCGCCCGAGAGAAGGTAGTCGCGGGCGTTATTCTTGCTTCTGCAATAATTCCCTAGGACCGAGGTCCCAAAGCCCGCGCGCACCGTTACGTTGATGCTCGTTTTATCGTTCGACTAATAGTGCAAAAAGAAAAATAAAAGAAAGAAAAAGAAAGAATAACACACACAGAGTCCGCGTTCGAATAGCGGTCGTTTAGCCGGTTAATTGTGCGTCTTAAATCCTGAATGGATTCGTTACGGCGCGAACTGTTGCGGCGAGCCTATTCGATCGAACCGTAAATCGAGCGTGTTCACCAGCTCGGCGAACCTTTGTTCCTGGACATATCGACAAATATAGCGATATTCAGAATCGGTCCTTCCACGGCAGGAATTCGATCGAACCTATGCCTGTTAACGTTCACACAATTACGAGATTTCGCGCCGAGTCCCTCAATTATCGGTGATATTATTTCGTGAATGCATGCACACGTCGCGAAACGCACACCGTTCGTTACACCGTGTCTTATTGCAGATTGCAATTTCATATTACGCGGCGCACGTGGAATCGTTTATTACGTTATTACATAATATGTTATTGACTGCAATTTACTTGGGCTATTTTTCGTGTGTGGTGCAGGTGTGCCAATATATATGGCTTTTCGGAATCTCTCGTCGTCCGGTAACGTATTGGTGGCTATCAGTTGAGAAAAAATAGCTGCGTACGCTCCGCCGTTGAAATAACGCTGTATTTCATTTCCCGATGGCGAGCGGAGCCGCGAAGAAGAAAGAGTAAAAAAAAGCGAGAGAAAGAGAGGAAAAAGCGCGACAGGGAGGAAGAGAGAGAGAGAGAGAGAGAGAGAGAGAGAGAGAGAGAGAGAGAGAAACAGGGAAAAGAAAGAGAGAGCGCGGGGAAAAAAGATAAATAAAATCCGTTAAATTTACGTCGCCAATAAAAAGGAAAATAAACGTAGCATCCTACGCGCTCGCGCGTTCACCCAAGGCGATCATCTTCGAGATTCAGGGCCCTCCCGCGCATTCGTGGAAAGCGAAAGATTACTTATTTATGGTTTCTCCATTCGGTAAAGGAGGGGGGAGAGTGGAAAGGACGTAGGAGCGTGGGGCGCGTAGATACGTACGTTTGATGTTGCCTCCGATCGGCCAGTTAAAGAGAGTGGCCGTTGATGGATTCGTTTTCCACGTAGGAAGGTTATTTATGAACCCTACACGAGACTCCCTACGTCGATCTGTACCGGGAACGACGTGGGCGTTTAGGATTCATCATGGCCATGAATACGCGTCACGACGCGAGTGCCCGTCCGTCCGGTCGAGCGAGTGAGCGACGCGGCAAGAAAACGACATGCATTATGACGGCGACTGTCATTATGCACGTGAAAATAAGAACCGCGAAGGCCACGCGTAGCGTTGCTCGTAATAACGCTCGTAAAAAGAGGTGAGAACAGCGTCGAGAACGGAGGGCGAGAGCGAGAGAGAGAGAGAAAGAGAGAGAAAGAGGGCGAGATCGCACGTTGATAGATTCGTCGGCATGGTTTTCGCGGAAGAGAAACATTATGCGAATTTAACGAGCCCCGTCATCGACTGATACCACGGCAAAATGCGCGGGATTATCTTTACGAGACAATCGTGTATATTGTGAGCGAGCTGTAACGATGTTGCGCGAACTTTAATGTAGCCGGCGGCCACGGTTATCCACGCCCCGAGCAATTTCCGCCAGGTCCACCAATTAGCCGGTAATAATTCTCTCGCCGGTGCTCGTGACGCTCGCGGCCGCATCGGTAGTCTCATTCACGATGCAAATTTTTCACGTCGACTACGCGTACGCGCGAGTTATTCGGAACCGCGCGCGTTTAATTCTGTCGTGAGACCGGCTCCAAGTGCTTTGACACGGTGACAATATCGTTGGCCGCTGCCGCCGTCGGCGGCGCCGTCGTTCTCGACTATATTTTCTCTAAGTGCTAGCGGAGAGCGCAATAAACTGTACAACGGAGCTGTCACGGCTTTAGCGTCGGAGATGCCATCCACGCTAATACACTCGTGTTCGTGCCTGCCGTCGTTGGCCACGACGACAAAGAAGAAACGACCCACCCCTAGTGTCCTCCATTTTCCCCAGTGCCTCTCTGCGCCGGCAATACTCCACGGCAGTTCACCCTCTCTTCGCGCGCCCCCCCCCCCCCCCC